TTTCCCGCCTGTATCGGTTAAGTACCGTATCGTTGGTAGCGATGTGACAAGCTTGAAGGTACCAAACACATAACAGGGGCTGAGCTACAATTGACCGTGAACCTTAGTACTTTCTTACGACTAAGGTGCGTAAAATGTTCACCGGAATGTTTCGCTGGCCATCTAGTGGCTGTTTTAGGACGGGGAATGTCCATGGATCAAACTTAGGAGGGGGAAACCCGTCCGAGACGGGCCTCCTAGGGTGGGTTCCCCAGGATGGTTAGGTCATTTCGGGCCATGGTCGTATGATTGGAATGGCTGCCTGGTACTTGCTCTTTCGAGAGAAGTACAGGCGTGTGTTTGGGATTGTCCAGCTGGATGTACATCGATTGCAATCGCCGTCCTCCTCGGATATGGATACCACTTGTCGCACCACTGCTATCGTAGTTAATGCAACTAGAACATGGAGTTGATGATGAGGCTTATGCTGGATGATGAAATATATTCTGATTGCTTACCACATGCTTGAAAGTAGTTCAGGTGCTTACCTAGAGTGGTTAAGTAACAAACTTGATGTGACTGCTAAAACCTTGAATACTAGGATGCACTATATGTAATGCTTCTCTGCAAAAACAACTAAACAGCTAGCAAAATAGTCCCCTGCATATCCTCGAGAGTCGGTAGACTACTCCCACCTAGTCGGGTAAGTCTTGCGGAGTACATTGTGTACTTAGGGTTTTATTCCCCCTGTGGCAGGTAACAGGTGGATGCTGGAGCTAACTGTTGCTATGTGTGGATACCTTCTGGTGGGCTCAGCGAGGCTTCCTCTATCGACGTTATCGTAGCATCTTATTCTTAAATCCCTACATCTACTTTAATATTCAAAACTTTTAAGTTTCCACTGCTTTTGTATAAAATAACCTTTCTTCCGCTGCTTTTATGAAATCTGTTTTGTAAAAACTCTTTTATGAAATGTTGTGATGTATGAAATGGTTAAGAATGTTGTAAGCTTTATTCACTTGTTTATGATCCTGATGGAAATGTGGATTTTCAGTTCTCCCGCGGAGTGTGCTTGACAGACTACCGGGTTTTGCTTAGTCTCTTGTGTATTTAGTGTCAAATGGTTGATAAATATACTTGGGATTATGTTAAATTAGGTGGTTCTGTCATATTTGTTACGAGAAAAAAATACTATTATTTTACTAAAACAGTACTATTGATAAGTTCATGTAAACAGGACCGGCATTAAGTACTAGTAGCAGTACTACGCCACGGGTGAGCCTCTGGCTGCAGGCCTACTTTGGACAATGCCTTGATGACTCAGGCGGCAATACTACTACCTGCCGCAGCTCCAACCAAAAGCGGCTGGCTGCTGAACTGCCGGATCCTCAAGGGTTCAGCAACCAGGCTGCCTTATCCGGTTGCCCGGCAGGTAATGACTCTTGAGCCAGTTGCGTTTAAATATATTATTATGCACGCACGGTAATGGAGAGTGATAGTGCTGATGGTGTTAGGCCAAGTCGCCAAAGTGGTAGCATTTCAGTTGCAATCAGGATGGTACAATGGAAAGCCATAGCAATAAACTTCATCTCCCAAGCTGTCTGATTCCTGCTGTGGCGAGGTCAGAGAAAAGTACTAGCTTGTTGCCGCCGTCGCCCATCGCAAATGATGGATACATGTAGATGTGAGATGTCCATTGAGGAATTGACTTGAGCGAATGCGGTTCTATCTTTCCTTTGCTCCTTTTGAAACTTTATTTTAGTGTTCGAGATGGCTTTAGCCAGAGCTAAAGCTAAACATATACTCTCTCCATTCTAAATTGTAAGACTTTTGACTTTTTTGACCTCAAGTTTGACCACTCATCTTATTTAAAAAATTTGTGCAAATATAGTTAAATTTAAGTCATTCTTGAAGAATTTTTATTAATAAACTAAACCACGACAAAAGAAGTGATATTTTACACAAATTTTTTAATAAGACGAGTGGTCAAACTTGGTGTTAAAAAAGTCAAACGTCTTACAATTTGAGATGGATTGAGTACTAATTTTCAGTGCCCGAGGATAAGGAAGCAAACTAGTAATTTGTAGTTGAACTTATGCGTTGAAAGTTCAGAACGAACCAAATCTCGTTGGTTGACCAGAAAACTGAACTGAAACAGGCTCGTATTCAGCACAGGAAAAGACAGGTTCACCACCAAACTCGCCGCCAAGCTATAAACATCGACGCCTGACATGGCAACTACAAGTGATGAGGAAAAAAAAAACACAAAGAGAAACGGCACATCATGTAGTGTGTTTGTCGGAGTTAATTTACTGTTGCTTCCGCTCGCAATGCCTGCCTCTTTACAGCTGCAGCGAACCATTGCGAGTTGATAGATGGTGGGTGCGACGTCATTCCACACGAACATGGTAGTACTTGTCACTTGTGAATTGAGATGGACCTGGAGCCACCCCCTGCCCCTTGCATCCTTGCTCCTCGACGTAACATGGGTCCTATTTGTTTGGGTTTGATTGACTGATAAGTCATGGTTGAAAGTAACGTTGGCTGATTTGGTGTGAGAGAAAAATACTGTTCGTTGGTTGGAAAAGTACAGCTTATAAGCCAAATAAGCTCAAACGAACAGGGCGATGGTTCAGAGCATCTGGCGCGGCCATCACTGTCCGTTTCCTGCTTGAAATCAAATCAAAACCATGCCGACCTGATTGATCGATTCTTTTAGACATGCTCGGCCCTGATCTCCCGTGCATTGTTCGTCAACCATTTTTTATTGTTCGTTGACATTGTTCATTAGTCAACGGGCCTAAACAAACAGCAGAAAAAAGAACAAGTATTCGCGGAGATGTCAAAACGGTTGACCTGCTCCAAACTCGGTAGCAGGTTCAACCAAAAGGGAGGCCCGTTCTTACATTTCTGGCTCACCTCCACAGTCCACCGAGCTAAATTAACAAATGTCCAGTGGAATCCGCAGCCTTGGAAACACGGGTTAGCTTACACATGGGAGGAGACACTGTAATCATAGGATGGTGAGGCTACTAACTACTAAGTACTAAAAGGCTGTAGTCCGCGTAAAACTATACTCCGAGATAACGCCAGTGCGGTGCTGTGCTGCTCGGTCTGGCCATTTTGGCCGGCAGGCCGCCACAAGAAACTTGCCCCCACTCCACTGTTGCTCGAGCTGCAGTTCCCTTTTCGGGTGGGGGGCAAGGCAATAACGCCGATGATGTTTCATTGCATACGAGCAGCCTCAACCTTCTGAGATCTGAAACGAATCGACACGCACGCACAGGGACGAGACCAGAACCAGACAGCTGAGGCCGAGGTCGCACGCTGCCCGGCCTATAAAATGCAGAAAACAGAGCAAGACCGGTGGCACCAGCAGACACCAGGTTCAATGCGTTGCACGGCCTGAAACTGCAGCTAGTGGAGACAGCTTGTTTTACCCAGGCATAATGTGAACGCCTCGCGCCGACTGGAGCTTCTTACATTAGCATGAGCAGGCAGTTTGTTACCCAGTCGGATCTATGCATGCGCACCTACTCCTCCTCCTGCAGGAACAGGAACCGATCGTTCGATCACTTCAACCAACGGACCTGAAGCTGATCGACCATCTTTCTCTTGACCCCGATTTGATCTCGTCGTAAGGGTCCTCTGGAATTCCGTCCGCAGCATGTTGTTGGGATTGGGACAGGGTGGGTGTGGTATCTGGTGTAACCGACGAACGGTAGTACAAGTCAAGTGCCTACCTACCTGCTCGAACAGACGATCGCCGGGGGGTGGGTTTGGTGGAGCAAACGCTGCTGACCCCTACGCACGCGTGTGAATGATACCAGTAATTCTTGGTCGCGGGCGGCCGCAGTGTCAACGCAGCGAGCAACCATGCCCCCCCAAAAGCGTCCAGCGCCCTTTTAGGCGCACGCGTTGACCTCGACGGCGGGCACGTTTTACTACACGGCGCACGGCGGGGCCGAGGGGTCAGTCAGGCTGAGGTCTCCCGCCCCCGGCGGCACCCGAGCAGAGCAGGTCCGATCACCAACCGTGCTACGGCCGCTGGACCTCGCTTTCGCGGCGTTCGATCCGTATCATCCGTGGCAACTTGGGCCTTGGTTCGGTCGGCCGTCGCACGTCCAGTCTTGACCGGTGCTGCTGTACTGGACCCGGTTTAAAACGACGATCCTGGACCGGTGCATCCGCTGATTAATTAGCGCGACCGGACCGACGGGAAACGTAGCAGTAGCACGCGCGCACGCTCGTGTTCCATACTTGCTTGTTTTGGTCCCAGGAAAAGTGCCATCTCTCGCTCACCCATCTAATCACACGAGGAACACGAGCAGGGAGGGCGCTGCCATTACAGGATTAGACTTTCTAATACTATACTGGTAGAGTATTCTTTTCCTGAACAAACACAAATAGGTTTTCTATAATAATACCGATCAGTGCCATGTCGGGGGATCCTCCAAATCAGGCATCTCATTTTTGGGATCTCTGATCGGGTCCCTGTAACACGAGACAATTAGAAAACGCAGCATGTATATATTAAGTAAGGCAACAAAAATCAGCAAACAGGGTGACGCGGGTGGAAAGGGTTGACGCCGCGCCGGCAGCGGCAAGCTAAGTGAGGGAGGGTCAGGCGCGCGCCCGCCCGCGCCGCGCGTTCCCACCCACAAGCACCCAGCGCACACGCCGTCCAATTCCCGCGCGTGGGCGGGACGCGACGCGCGACCCACGCCTTCCCCCTTGCCCATTTGCTAATCCCGCCCTCCTCCCCCACCCAACTTGAGCCTTTGACGCACACCAAACACCCTCTTAACTAAACGAATACCCCCACCCAAATTAACTCCGACTCGTCTTCTCCTCCTCCTCCTTGCCCAGCAGCTTTGTATATAAACGCGCGCAACTCACCCACATCAAGAGCAGGCTCACAAATTCCAGATCAGGCCAAACAAAAAGACCACCAGCAGCACATCGCGAAAAGCAGCAAGCAAGCAAGTAACCACAACAAGAACAGAGGCAAAGAAGGAGCCATGGCGGCGGCGGCGGTTGCCGTGAGCGGCGGACACTGGAGGAGACTGCGGACGCTCGGCCGGGGCGCGTCGGGCGCCGTGGTGTCGCTGGCGTCGGACGCCGCGTCGGGGGAGCTGTTCGCAGTCAAGTCAGCCGGCGCGCGCGACGCGGCGGCGCTGCGGCGGGAGCAGGCGGTGCTGTCGGGGCTGTCCTCGCCCCACGTCGTGCGCTGCGTCGGCGGCGGCGAGGGCGCGGAGGAAGGGTCGTACCAGCTCTTCCTCGAGTACGCCCCCGGCGGGTCGCTCGCCGACGAGGTGGCCCGGAATGGGGGCTCGCTCGAGGAGCGCGCCATCCGTGCGTACGCCGCGGACGTGCTGCGCGCGCTGGCGTACCTCCACGGCGACCGCTCCGTCGTGCACGGCGACGTCAAGGCGCGGAACGTGCTGATCGGCGCCGACGGGCGCGCCAAGCTCGCCGACTTCGGGTGCGCGAGGGCGTTCGGCTCCGCGCGACCGATCGGCGGCACGCCAGCGTTCATGGCGCCCGAGGTTGCCCGCGGGGAGGACCAGGGCCCCGCCGCCGACGTCTGGGCGCTCGGCTGCACGGTCATCGAGATGGCCACCGGCCGCGCCCCCTGGAGCGACACGGGTGACGACGTCCTCGCGGCGGTCCACTGGATCGGGTACACGGACGCCGTGCCGGAGGTGCCGTTCTGGCTGTCGGCGGAGGCCGAGGATTTCTTGGCGTGCTGTTTCGCGAGAGACGCCGCCGACCGATGGACCGCCGCGCAGCTCTTGGAGCACCCGTTCGTGGCATTTGCGGATCATGACGACAAGGCCCGGCGGTGGGTGTCTCCCAAGAGCACGCTGGACGCCGCATTCTGGGAGTCCGAGTCGGAGTCCGAGGACGACACGGCGGACGAGGTGTTGTCAGGGAATGATGCGTCAGAGAGGATCAAGTCACTGGCGTCCTCCGCCTCCGCCTGCGCCTTGCCCGACTGGGACAGCGAGGAGGACGGATGGATCGACGTGCTCGGCGAGCAGCAGCAGGTCGAGGCGGCTTGCGGCGCGGTCCCGGTGGCGCGCTGCGCGCCAGGCAAAGTGTCCAGCGCCCTGGCGGTGCCAGCTGGGGAGGTGGCTGTCGGCGGCGGCGGCGGCCTCGGCCTCCCCAGTGATGATGAACTGGAAGCAGACGACGTGCCGTTCGGTGGCGGCGATGTTCCAGCAGCCGCGGATGCTTCAGTTGAGCGTCAGGAGAAACACTATTTGAGTTCGCACTGTCATGTAGCACTCTCATGTCAGTTAGTGCCTTGTAATCTAGTCATTAATGCAATAAAGTTATGGGTTCCCACAAATTTTTGCTGTGCTGCTCTGTTCGATTCCCCTCGTCATCATAATACTCTGCTCATGCCTAATTTTCATCGGTACGCGAGACAGGCCACGATCGGCTCTACTACATGCAACGGCCGCACGTGCAATATAGGTAGAAATAATCTGCCACAGTAACCACACCGTTACGACTTGCTGTAATACCTTGGCAGATTTTGATGTGCTGCTCTGTTTGATTGCCTCCTTCACATCCTGCTTTCGCCTAGTTTTTAAGTCTGCAAGACGGAACACGTTCTGCTCCACGCTTAAAATGACGAATGGCTGCAGTAACCGCGGCGGAAAGAAGCGACGTGACTGACATAGCATGACCTGGTTCATTCGAGAACGAACGAACACCACGGCGTGAAAGCCGTGAACGCTAATTGTTCGAGAACACCTGGGTTTATTCCACCAGCTGTGCCTGTGCGTCTGTTCCAATCCACGGCTTCTGGACCGCGAAACCGGCCGTGGATTCTCCGATCCCCTGAATCGGCACGACACGGATGCCCGCCAGCGTCAGCCTACACGTACGCCACTCGTCCCTCCACTAAAAACTAAACGGGCTCGGGAAACCGTCCGTCGACCACTGGCGGCGCGAAGAATCAAAAGAAACAGGCACTCCACTCGCGCAGCAAAGCCACAGCACCGACCTGCGGCGCCGCCCCCCGCGAGCGATATCCACAGCACCGTCCTGCGGCGCCTCACTACGTACGGGCGGCGCCCGGGCGGGCAGAGATGCCCAGGGGCCAGGGCTGGTGGCGGCCGAGTCGGTGCGTGCGTGAGGTCACGGATGGGGCCGGCGGCACGGCGTCGCGCCGGCTGACGCGACCCCCGCATCATGGGTTCCGTCACGGCGCACTAGATATGCGGGGGCTGGCTCGGTGCGGTGCCTCACCGTCACCGATCACCGTTCCGTACGCGGTCAAAGCACGGGCCGGCCCAATGTTTAGGCTCGCTCCCGTCCCGCGGTACCGTGGCGGTCGGTCGTTGGAGATAAAGTAAGCAATAAGTAAATATTTATAATTTTATCGTAGTTGTCATCAGAGGTAGCCTATCACTTAATGACATAGGGTTTATACTGGTTCAGGCAACGTGTCCTACGTTCAATTTGAATCGGTCGGTGACTTTATTTCTGAACTCAGATGCTCGAAGTTTACAGTGGGGTTATAGACGAGAACGAGAAAAATTGGAGGTACAAGAGGTCCGGTCGGACTCTGGTCAGAGGGACCGAAAGCGATGAAAACTCCGCTATGTGCTAAATGTTCGAGCGAGTGCTCAAGGTTTGAACCTAGTGGTTTTGCTGCTGTGTGCTAGTGAACTTGATTGATGTAATGAATCTGAATCAACTGGCCTCTTTTGGGAGAGAATGTATCCCTTTTATAGATGAAGGGGATAGCTTTACAAGTGAGAGGGAGAGAGTACGTACGCTACTAAGTCTTATTGTCCACTCCAGCGGGTACAGGATGATGGTAGGCGACCATAACTCTGTTGAATGTCAGATGCATGTAGGAGGTGGTGTTGTCTTCTTCGGGTATAGCAGACGTCGGCGTTTGCCACACTGTCGATACCTGGAGGCATGTAAGGAGTTTTACCATGTTTATCCGGTATGGTAAATGCCGGTGCCTACAACAATATCGATGCCCAGAGGCACGTGGGGGTGCCTTATCGTATGAAAATTTAATGGCGCCAACAATACTGTAGGGGAAAATATCAGCGCCTACAATACTGCTTGGGGCTCTGTTGTGTCAGGGAGGTTGCAGAGTACTATTTCTACAGGTGTACAGGGTACGGTCCTCGGCATTGTGGTTTGACTTGTGTGCCCTTTTTTACTTTCTCTGTCTGTTTTCTGGTCCTTATCGAGCAAGCGTCCCCGATCGGTTGGTTCTAGTCGGCTCTGATCGCACCAGTCGGAGAAGAGTAGTGAGTAGGGTTTGGTGCAACCCCCATCGGAGACGCGGGTTGGAGTCAGAAACGGTGTTTGGACAGGCTGTCCGGAGGTGGACTGGAGACCGAAGCGATCGCTCCGGTCGGAGAGGTGGGCCGGAGCTGGAAGCGGGCGCCGTTCCTCCTCGGCCAGGCCTTCCGGTTGGTGATTGGATCGTCCTTCTCGCCTATCGTTTAGTTACTTGGGCCGGTCCAGGAGCTGTGCGTTGTCTGCTTGGGGCGAATCTTTGTTTTGGGAAGTCGGTCCGCGAGGGACCCCGGGTTTATGAACCCAACAGGAGCCTCCGAGCCCTCGGGCGATTCAGGTAGAATCGTCTGGGGGATTTTTGTCTTGACGATGGGTGCGCGCGAGCGCACCCGCAAGTGTAGCCTGTAACAGAACCGACCAATTATACGAAATTAAGTAAGAAAATCATCCGCCAGAGCAGACGATTTAGCAAACTTAAGCCCGTATAACCCGGTAGTCCGTGAAATCGCGAAGGATTTCAAACCAACTCCCATTCCAGCCAAGATCGTAATAAGTTTAGCGGTCACCATCACATATTACATAAAAGTTCGCAATCTCAGATACATCAGAGTTTAAACATAGTTATTACAAACCCGTTCGAATAAAAGTAGCAGAAGCCATTTGTTCAAACCATACACACTCACGCGGAGTTCAAATATAGTGCCAGCGAATGATCATCTCCAACAACAGCATTAGACGAGACGTAAGGAATGACCATGCCCATGGTCCTAAGCATCACCCATCGCAGGATAAAGGCAGTTGATACAATAGCCGTAATACATCTGCCCATCTGCAACAAGTGGGAATAAAACCCTAAGTACGAGAAGGTACTCAGCTAGACTTACCCGACATAACCGAAAATAAATGACTCCAAGGATTATGAAGGCTTTATAATAGGGTAGCTGACTCATTTGCAAAAAAAGCATTTTTAGCATTTTAAGAACCTTTCTAAAAGCATTAATGTCAAGTTAATTAGTATTAACCTGTCGACTAGATTTGCACCTATACTAGAGTAAACATGTGATTAAGCAATTAATAATAACCACCGATCATTAAACAACTTTCATCTTCATCATATTCACTATAAGCGTCCAAGTGTTCCATAAACATTTACTACGATGAAGTCACTCAAGTCAAGTGCTCACTATCCGGGGCGATGGCGATTCGAATCGATTCCTAACCAGCTGGTGATTTATTCCTTACACAAATCTCACTCACCCGCTAAAGTGAGATATTGATCACCGAGTCAACTTTCCAGGTATCTCGAGTTTGCCAGGAACCACATGTACCCGGGGGCCGACCGATTTGCACTTTGGTCTTATCATCCCGACCCGTGTCCTACCACACCGCTTCGCACAAAGGCGTCATGCGCAATCTACTCGGCCCGAAAAATCTCCCACCCAGCGGTCGGAGGGTACTTTATCCGGCCAGCTAAATGTAAGGCATGCGTTCAACATGACTCGAGGCCCAACAACGGTCGGTCCTTAATCGACACAAACGGAAACACTACAGTCCAAAACTCTGCAAGTCTCCACCCGGTCTCAACTTCATTTAACACTTAGTTATACCATGACTTCATAGCCATCCAAGCGAGATCCGGTAACCACCTATAGCTCGCAGTGACAGAAATCACCCGACTTCTACTGGTCTAAGCCAATTAAGCAATCGACTTCATTGCGGATACCGTGGTAACAAGGATATAGTATAACAAAGGTAAACAAGGTATAATACAGCAACGATTGCAAACAACTCCTGAACGTAATGCATCAATTTAAAGTAAAGCATTTAATGAAATCATTGCAAACCGGGAGAAAGATGCTCCGGGGCTTGCCTCTCTCGAAGGAGCTCGGGCGGTGATCGGGGCACTCCGGAAGTTCTTCAACGTCCTCCTCGTCGGCTTCTGGCACTTCCTGCTGCTGCACCTCGAACTGCTCCTCGGGCTCCTCGGGAATGACGACTGGGTTCTCGGTTTGCGATCCTGTATGATGCAATGCGTGTAAGTGCCTATGCAATCGGTGCATCGAAGGAGATGAATGCAATGGATATGTTGAAAGGCAAGGTAGTCAACATCATCCAAGAAACTATGCTACAAACACATGTCATCTACTGCATTCTCTTCTACTACCAATATGTTAAGTCAACATATTTTATTAAATGCTTCAAAGATACACCAAAGCTTTACTAATTTCTTAATCACAATTAAGGCAACACTTGCTTAAACCCTAATTAATAATAGGTTTAAATAGCAACATATATTTCTGATGCTCCTAAAAATCTGAGAAAAATACAGTAGCATAATACTATCTTAAATGGACTACCATAAAAATTTCATGGCATTTGGATAAGTAAACTATCCTACATAAAAATGACAAGCTATAGCATAAAAATGAGCATGAAATTACTTTGTACTATGAAAAGTGTCAAACAACAGATTGGGTATTTTTCCTATGTTCTTTATAGTATATAATCACTGTACAAAAATTGTCACATGCATGTTTTATACAAAATTTGTGCTTTAGCAAAATAACAAAAATCAGCCATTAAAGGTACTTGAACTCATCTCAAAATTTTCCCACAGCACATGCATGAAACATATTTTTCCTAGGAAGTACATGACATAAGAAGATTAACAAACTTGGAATCATATTTTCTCAAGCCTATAGAATTTTCTACATATTTTTCAAGTTATCCGCAATATTCAAGATTAAATAAAATTCTACAAATAAGTATCTCAAAAATGACATGCACAAATTTTCCCTAGCAGATCTGATGATAAGGAACCTAGGAAAATTTGTTTCAACAATTTTTGGAGCAAGTTTGAGCACCCAAACATTTTTCAAACCATTTCAGATTTCAATTAACAAATAATAAATGGAAATCAATTCATTTAAGAAATCTTGGGCGGCCCGTGGGGAACAAATGGCCCACGGCATAATCGCCCACGCAGAGCCGAGCGAAAAGGGGCCAGCGGCTGACTGGCAGGCCTCGGCCCACGATCGCTTTCGGCCTTGCAGGTGGCGGCAGCAGTGCCTCAGCCGGGCGCTGTGCACAATGCGACGACAAGCGCAGCTCGGCCAATGGTCGACGGCCATCTCCACCACGGCAACAGCAAGCAAGCGAGCGCAGGAGATGAGCGAGGAGAAGGCGAGTTCGGTAGGGTAGCTAGGCGAGGCCGGAGGGAGAAGGA